TCTTCCCCGCCCATAGCAGCATTGAGGCACACCAGTTACTTGTGACAAACATCACATTCCTGTACAAGGTGACCACCCCCAAAATCAAGCTCTTTGCCCCGAGCCAAGGCAAACGTCACCTCTCACAGCCGCGTCCGCTCTGGAGGTTGAAGAAGCCAGGCTCACAGGCACTGCAGTCCCTCCCGGTGACGTGAGACAGGCACTCACACTGCCCGGTCACTTGATTGCAACTCGTCTGCTGATTCACAGTGCCATAGGGATTGCAGTGACAAGCTGCAAAAACAGAAGGGATGGGGAAATAAGCAGAAAGTTAGAGGTCCCTTGTGGTGTTGGTACTCTGCTAGCCAGTCCCGAAATGGGCCAGGCTCCAAAACACACTCCAGTCCAGCCCCTGCATCGCACAGTGCTTTTGTTTTTGCTTTGATGGCAGTAAGCACCCACAAATACAAGCACTTCAGAAAGCTACAACCATCAAACCAGGACAAAGCCATGCGTTGCTGCTGACAGGCACAAACAACAGCCTGATGTCCTGATGTTGTGTCCCAACAGCACATCAGGAAACTGCAGCTCTCAGAGACAAAACCATTTGTAAACTCAAGAGAAATCAGTTCTCACCTCTGCACTTGTCAGCAGGATCAGGGGCCAAGGGGTTCCCAAAGAAGCCGTCTTTGCAGCGGTCGCAGTAGAAGCCGGCGGTGTTGTAGATGCATTTGAGGCACTCGCCCGTCTGGCGATCACAGTTCCCCACGGCGTTGGGATCAATGTTGTCATTACACTGGCAGAGGCGGCAAGGCCTCACAGCACCGTTTTCACCCAGCGGGTCACCGAAATAGGCATCATCACACAGCTCACACCTCTTGCCTGAGACATGACAGAAAAGCACATATTGCAGCAGAAAGCGCTCTGCTGCTGTCTCACCCAGAGTCCCTTCTGAAAAGCCCCTTTCATCCTGCTGGGGCCAGAAGGGTACACAAAACCACACACAAATCCTTCCCCACCTCTAAATTTAAGCCACTTTTCCACTAGAAATCTGCATTATGAATTATTTCCACTCATCCTT